CCTATTATGACCACCAAATACCAAATAATATCCAGTGCCCTTTAGGGAGACCAAGTCACCCTTATTTAACTTGGCATAAGGTTTTGAATCAAAATATAAGATAGAGAAAGAGGGAAATTGCACAGGAAGTGAAGGCTGAGCTGGGACAACACTTCTGTCCCATCCATTCCAGTAACAACACACACACTGCCCCAGCCTTCCCCACTGACATCACTCATGCTACACGCCCTTACCATCACACACGGCTCCGGCATCCTCACGATGGTGACAGTCATGCTGACCCCAGGGCCTCGCAGGGCAGAATCGCAAGGCTGTCTCATTTCCCCGACATCTGAGATCATCTAGGATGATGGGTCCAGCCCCCTCTCCAAAGAAGGCACCCCCTGGGGCAGCCAGGGCGCCCCCACAGCCCAGCTCCCTGCAGGCCACGGCAGCATCACGAAGATCCCAGGCATCGTCACACACAGACCCCCAGCGGCCACCATGCCAAACCTCCAGGCGGCCAGCACAGCCGTGGGGACCATCAGCAAGACGCAGCCTGGGTGCAGGACCTGAAACAGGAGGACAGAGGTCAGGGTGACCAGAGGTTAGGATGGATGCATGCCTGCTACGTATTCCAAGAAGGAAAACCAGAGTGGGTGTGCAAGGGCCACATTAACACTGTGGGAGTCTAGGGTTGTGAGCGGATACTGGGTTAGACCAGTGAAGAAGCAGGATGAGTGAACAGGTACGGACTTACGCCTTATGCCGACAGAGAACAAGAATGCTGGGGGAAAGAAAGAGGGAAAGGGAGCGAGGGAGAAGAAGGAGAGGAGCGAACGAAGGAGGAAGCCCCCAAGCGCCCTTCCATGGCCCCTAACTCTTGGTCCCAGTTTCTAGTTACTCCCTCAAGAAAGCTGAGGCTCAGCAGGCTAAGCTCATCTCTGCCTCTCCCAGAGAATGTGTACAGAGGCAGACTTGAGGCCGGGCCTTTTACGGCTTCCTGGGGGAGGGAGGAGCTGAAGTCTGAGGAGCGGGTTGTCATGCCCTCACGTGCACACATACCAGTGCAGACCAGCCCTGCATCCTCAGTGTGGTCACAGTTGCTCCGGCCCCAGGGGCTTCGGGGACAGTCCCGGAGGGCTTCCTCTCCTCCTCCACACCCCACGTCGTCCATCCACACGGGTCCCTCACCAGGTCCGAATCTGGCACCCCCAGGTGCGGCCAGCGCTCCCCCACACCCCAGCTCCCTACAAGCCACTGCTGCGTCTCGGAGGTCCCATCCATCATCGCAGACAGTGCCCCAACGTCCACCGTGCCAGACTTCCAGGCGGCCAGCACATCCATGGGGACCTGAGACCAGACGCAGCCGCTCTGGGGGGTTACAGACAGGGAAGATGGGAGATTGTAAAAGGCTATGTCTGCTGTCAGCTTGGAGAGGGCAGCTTCCAGTTTGTTCACCTGGGGAAACCGAGGCCCAGAAAGAGCAGAGATTGAGGGTTGTCTGCCAGCTGGCTAATTTAGAAAAGAGAACTGCCATCCCCCTAAGTCTCATAGAGGAAGGATCAAGAAGAGGGTGTAGCCAGTCCTGACTGGATCTGAAGGGAGGGCACTGGGAATACTGGTCTCCTTGGAGGGTCATGGGCTGAATGAAGGTCTGGGATCTTCAGTTTGGCCGGGTCTAGGGTCTCATAGAAGATCAGGAAGACAAGGGAGATTTAGAGTCTTACCCTGGCGGGGAGCTCCATTTGTCAGTACAGGGGCTCGGGTGGACTTTGCCTGCTTGGGTGGCCGGGGGCTCTTCTTTCGGGGGCCATTCTGGGAGCTTGCTGGCGGTTGGGGAGCTAGGAAAGTGACATGTGACCAGGAAGTCAGGATCTGAGCTGGTCACCCTTCCCGACTCCTTGGCGTCTGTCTAGGGATTTTTTTTTTGAGGGTATGAAAGATTTCTGTGGCCGGGTGGTGGTGGCACACGCCTTTAGTCCCAGCACTTGGGAGGCAGAGGCAGGCGGATTTCTGAGTTCGAGGCCAGCCTGGTCTACAGAGTGACCAGGACTACACAGAGAAACCCTGTCTCGAAAAACCAAGCCAAAAAAAACAAACAAACAAACAAACAAAAAAAGATTTCTGGATGGAGGATTTCTGGGTAATGAAGGAGACGGCTGGGAAAACGTCCCCCATGATGACCTTCCCCCATAGCTGAGTCCAACCAGGGTGCAGGATGGGAAGCTAGTCCTGTGTGCTCACCATGAGTTATAGGGGGCTCCTCTGAGCTTGGGCTCAGCTCCCCAGACAGTGGCAGCCATGGATCCCCATCCAGCGGGGACAGTGAATCTTCTCTAGAGTTAGCTGCCCGCTGACCTATGGGAGAGAACCAAAGTTATGAGGACAGTGATGTGGGGAGGAGTGGAAAGCCTGTTTGACCCCCTGGGGCAGAAGGACCTGGGATGCCTGAATTCCCTGGGGCTCAGAAATAAGTGATCATAAGCTGGGAGTCCTAGGGAGGGGGGAACCTGGCCTTATGGGATCTGGAATTGGTTATCTCTTAGCTTCTAGACATTTCAGATCTGTAGGAACTAAGGGCTTGGAGGTTCCTGGGGCCATAACCATAAGAAGAGTTTGAATCTTTTTACCTACACAGACGACGCCTGCATCCTCCTCGTGAGAGCAGATATGGGCCTTCCAGCCCCGGTGGGGACAGATACCCAGCTGTCCCTCATTGCCCCGACAGTTCAGCTCACTGAGCCACACAGGCCCAGTGCCTTCCCCAAAGAAGGCACCTCCAGGGGCGGCCAGCGCCCCTCCGCAGCCCAACACACGGCAAGCCACTGCAGCGTCCCGAAGGTCCCATCCGTCATCACAGACGGTGCCCCAGCGCCCACTGTACCAGACCTCCAGGCGTCCTGCACAGCCGTGAGGGCCATCAGCCAGGCGGAGTCGCTCTGAGGGGTGAAGGAAAAGCTGTGACTAGCATTGGCTGGGGGCTATGGTGACCCCAAGGGCAGGGGGGCTGTCTCACAAGCTACCATCAGGAAGCCAGCTACCCTGGAGGCTGGACCCTGGTCCCAGAGTCCTGGTTACAATGAAAGGAATGTCTCAGAGATGCTGGGGGCTGTGTGGAAGGACAGTGTTAACCAGGGAATTCAGGCATCCCAAGTCCTTCTGCCCCAGGGGGTCAAATGGCCTTTCCACTCCTCCCCACAGCACTGTCGGTTCTCTCCCATAGGTCAGCAAGCAGCTAACTCTAGAGAAAACTCAATGTCCCTGCTAGATAGCAGCACTGTCTGGGGAGCTGAGTGGAATTGGGGTAGCAGGGACCAGCAGGAGAGAGAGGGGAGGCTTGCATTTGGGTGAGTCCAAGGGCTGAACCAGGACACTTACCTAGAGCTTGGATCCCCACCAGCGTTGCTGCAAAGGAGGTTGGAGGGGACAGAGTGAAGGGTAAGTCAGAGGGGAGGGGTCCTTTCCCCAGTGCAGGCTCCCAGCTTCAGTCCAGTGGGAAGCATCCATTCACACACAGAGTCCTCATACCTCTGAGTCAGAAACCCCATTGCTGGAATGGACTTTGGGTGGAGGCTGGGATACGTTACAGGTCCCTGGGGTGGGTACGACCCCAGATGCCTGACCCTTGAAGACAGGGCTGGGAACCAGATTGAATGGTGGGAGTGATAGGTCCACAGAGTCCATGCCAGGGCAACAAAGGGCAGGTCACTTGAGTTGCTAGGCAGGACATGCAGAAGGCTGGGTCCCTGAGGGATTAGAGGGGCTTGCCAGATGTCAGGATATCACACAGCACCAGGGACCAGAACAGGCTCCCTCAAGTATGAGTCCCTAAACTGGAGAAGCTAAAGGGTCAGAGGTGAGGGTCCAGGCCCCTGAGGTGCCGCCCCCCCAGGAAATGGATTACTCACCAAGGAAGCAGGCCAAGCCCCTCATGTTTGCAGAGTCCAGGGCAGGGGATGGGGGTGAAAGGGGAAGGAGGGAAGGAGAGGGCTGGAGGAGGCAGCCAGGGAGGAAGGGAGGGAGGGAAGCTGCTGCTGAGGCACCCTGGACAGCTTAGGAGCAGGCTGGGCTGAAGGCTCTGCCAGGAGGGAGAGAGGCTGCAGGGATGCAGCAGGGGACAGGAGGGGGAGGGGGCTGGCCACAGCTGAGGCTGGAGGAGGGGGGCGGTGGGCAGGCAGAAGGGAGGTGTTCAAGTGCAAACACCCACACTGGAGGGAGGCGGCCAGCCAGGCTCCAGAGGGCCACGTGCTCAGATGCTTATGGAGATGGCAGCTCTGAGAAGGGGCAGGCCTGGGTGTCTGGGGGACAGGGCTGAGGGCACACCCTTCTGCCTCTTCTTAATTGTCCAGCCAGGCAAGTAAGTGCAGCTGGGAGGGGACAGATTTGGGACAATCCTGCAGTAGCAAGAGGGCCTGAAGCCAGACACTAGGAGAGACTTCCTAGATCAAGAGAAGAAACTGAAAAACTCCTCTCTCCATTTGACACCCACTGTGGTAAATCTGGATGGGAAGCTTCCAGTGCCTATTTGAGGAAGGAGTGTCTGAACTTACCAGTTCCCAGAACAAAGGTATAGAGGATAGGGAGACGGAGGGGTCAAGGCTTCATTTGGTCTGGAGGGGGTGTACGCGCAAACACACAAACACACACACACACATACACACCCCACACATCAGGCAGCTGTGAGGGAAAAACTTTGGTAATGGGGAGCATGACTCAGAAGGCCTGGCAGAGCCTGGGCTGCCGCTGTGAGCTCACTGCTTCTCCTTTTCCCAGCACAGTGCACCCCCCCCCAACTTCCCTAGCAATTAATGTCAACTTTGGAGAGGAGGAGCCAGACAGAAGGAGGGAGTCTGGAGACAGCAGCTGGAAAATGCATCAGAGAGGAGACAGGCACACAGAAGTTTCAGGGTTTATTAACAAACAGCATAAAAAACCAGATGGGTTTGGAGACACTGTGCTCCCAGCCCCACCCACTCCCAGAAGATCTGTCCCCTTTGGGAGTTCCCTGTCACAGACTCTAACTCCTGGAGTCTTTCTCTCTTCCCAAATCTCCCTTCCAGACCTCAAATACTCGCAGCAGGGGCTTCATAGATCCAGAACCAGAAGTTTTTCAGTGCATACAGACTGGAGGGTTGGGGTGGGGCCAAGGAGTGGATAGGGTAACTTCTAGTGGTCCCACAAGACCGAGAAGGGAATTGTTCTACTTGAGTTTAGAGTCCCCTTTGCATCTGTCAGGTTCACAGTGGGTATGTAAGTCCATCAACCTCGGTGCCTCACTATCAGCCCAGCAGACCAGGTAGACACTGAGGGAGGGGTTGTAAAGTGCCGTGCACACAGTAGGTGTTCTTTAGGTACTGGTTCTCTGCCCATCTACCCAGTGGACATGGTCTCTAATCACAGGTCTTTTCTGAATTCCCTAACCAGCAGATAGCCCATGCAGCCCCAGCCTCCCTCTGCCTGGTAGCCACAGGCCTCCAATAACCCTGCCACTCCCCAAGCGGCTACAGCCACTGGGACCACGAGCCGGGCCTGAGGCTCCCCCATACTCCCAGCCCATGCTCGGGCTCGGGCCTCAGCAAAGGCCAGCAGCCTCCTGCCCACGCCCCTGCGACGGTGCCATCGAGAGACAGAGAGGCGGGTGACTCGGGCTCCGTCCCCTAAGTTGGCACCAGGGGCCAGAGCCAGGACTCCACACACATCGCCGGAACCACGGACAGCCACCCAGGGCCCTCCCAGGCCGCCTGGTGGAGGCAGAGAGCCCCATCGGGCTCGCAGACCCAGCTTCACAGCGGCTACAGCTAGAAACACAGGCAGCAGGAGGGCCAGGGCGAAGGAGGCCAGGATGAAGCGCAGTCCGCTGCTTGCTGCAGCCAGGAGGAGGAGGGCTGGAGGACGTGTCAGAGCGTGGAGGGCCACACGGTTTTCCGTGTCTTTTACACCAGCCTGTGGGTAGGGGTAGGGGCTCAGCCATTCATCACATTGGAACTCCCGAGGAAGGATTCCCAAGTGAAAGAGAAGCTGGCTGACGGGGTAGCCCCAGTCTGGCCCATTGGGTGTTAAGGGCAGTGAATGAATGCTGTTTGCCTGAACGAAATGAATTGAATTAGGGCCTGAGGCCGGATGGCGTGCTAGTGTAAAGCACCAAAGAAGACTGATCAGGATAGGCAAAGTGAAGACATGGGCTCCTCGCTGGAGGCTCTGGAGGGTGTGTGTGAGAGCATCCCTCATTTTGGGACTGGTAAGTGGGGCTGAACGGAGGTCAGGACACGTGAACAGCAGCCCCCACACCCTTCCAACTGCTTTTTAAAAAATGGCAGCTGAGGTGTAAGTAGGGAGAAGTCACTAGAGAAAAGAGACCAATTAAAAACAGCTGAGGCGAAGATATTCCCCCCCCTTCGAAGACCCCCGGAGCTCAGGCAGGTGGGCGGGGCTGGTGGAACCCACTTTGAATGGCCCTAAGGAGCTGCGCATGCTCACTGGTGCCCCTGCCGGCCTCTCACCTTCAGCATCTCCAGCACCAGGGGCTTCTCATCTTCCCTCATTTCCCGCACTGACAGGTGGTTGGGGGCCATGGTAGCCCCCAGGCCGGCCCCCCAGAAGGGAGCTGGCGTACACCTGCTGAAAACAAGTTAGGTTGTTGTTAGGTGGGCACCTGAGTCCTAAGAGCCCTGGGAGAGATGGGCTGCAGCATTTCCCAGATCACCAAGGGCGCCAGAGCATCGCCAAAGAGGACTGTCACAGTGGCAGGCCAGGTGCCTCCATATCCAGTGGGGGCTCCTTAAAATCTCCCTGAATCGTCCCCCACTCCGGGAAAGGCATTCAGCGATCTGTCTATAAACTCCCTCCCTCCCCATCTCCAGCAGTCTCCCGAAGTGGTCCCACCCCGCGTAGCAAGAACGGGGCCCTGCAAGGCACCTCCACGGGGTTGCTCGAATCCCTTGACAGTAAGGGGGGGGGGGGGTCCGGGGGGGGGGTCACCGCCGGAAGTGACGTCCACACTCCCGACTGGAGGCGGGACCGACGCCTTAGCAACTGTTGCCAAGCTTCCCCCACTATGGGGCAGGGGTTGGGACTAATGAAGGGAGCTGCGAGGACGAGGGAAGAGCTGTGACCTGCTGGAGGCCGGTGGGAGAACCATGGAGAAGGGGGGATGGGAGTGGGGGACAGAGAGGGTTTCTTACCCGGCCTGCCTGAGAGGATTAGCACAGCTCCTTTCTTGCCGGTTCGTTGCTAAGCGACCTGAGCATCAGGACGAGGAGGCGTTGCTTGTGAACCTAATCTCATTGGCGCTTGGGTCTTTGAGGGAAGGGATGGGGGCAGCACTGAGCATTCCGGTCCGCAGGGTCCTTTATCTCAACCCGTGTGACACCTGGGGTATCGTTTGGATTAATATCCCTCTACCTACCTTCCAGGTGAGGTAAAGGTAAGGGTGGTTTATAGTCTAGAAGTGGAGAATCCTGAATTCGATCCCCAGCCCTCTCTACTATAAGTAAGCGACACACGAACACATACAAAGAATGAGAAAGGACTAGAGAAATAGCTCGGGGAGTAAGAGAGCTTGCCAAACGGAAACCCATGTGGCTGACACTAAGTCGTCTTTCTGACCTCCGCAAGTGTACCCCCTCCCCGGCCTAGTAAAAAGTCCTAACAGTTTAAAGGATGGGGGAGCTGGGCCCCACCCCGGAGAAGCATTTAGCCCTCCAAGTACAAAGCGAGTCATCTCAGAGCCAGGAAACAACAATGAAGACTTCTAGGTCTGAAGCAGGAGCTATGCCCATGACTATCCCCCCACCCCCATGAAATCAAAACCAAGAAGAGATTCTGGGTCTTTATTAGCAAGTCCAGCCAGCAGCCCCCTTGACTCTGGGGCTGACCCCAGCCCAGCTGAGGAGAACAGTTAATTGCGGCGGGGGGGGGGCTCAAGAGGGGTTCTATGACAGAGGTACTAATGGGTCTCTTCAAAACGTGTGTACCAATTGGACTGCAGGCAGAGTCTGCACAATCTGAATGGAGGGCAAGTTTTGGGGAGCCATGACCCCTGGTCCAGCCACTGCGGGGACCACTTGTACCATCTGGGACGGGGGAGCTACGGGCATCCCCACAGGGGTAGAAACCGGGCCAGGTGCTGGTGGGGCCAGGAGCTGCAGTGTTGTGGTACCTCCTGCAACGCTGCTATTTTCTAGCAGATCAGTAGCTGGGGCGCTACGAATGATGAGGAGCTTCGGTCCTGACGGGCCAGTGGGAGCTGGCTCTGTCAGTCCAGGGGAAAGTGTTTCCACCTCCTGCACACAGAGCCTGGTCTGCTCGCCATCCGCTCCACTCAGCACCAGCACACTCTGCAGCCCCTCGTCTGTCTGCAGTGTCTCAAACAGGACATCCTGGACCATACCAGCGCTGCCCTCGCTGTCTCCCACTTCTCCAGGACCAGGGCCGGTCAGCAACTCTTCAGCTGCTCCACTCTGAACCACCAGCAGGTTTGGAGCCTCTGTAGTCACAGCTCCTCCACTAGAACTGGAGACTTGGCCTGTCAGGGGCTGGAGCTGGACCGTAGTCACTTCCTGTGCTGGTTGTAGCTGGACTGTAGTCACTTCCTGTGCAGGCTGTAGTTGGACCGTAGCTACTTCCTGTGCTGGCTGAAGCTGAACCCCACTCACGTCCTGTGGTCCTGCTTCCCCACTCCCTACATTCTGCAGAACAATGAGGCTCTGCCCTCCCCCGCTAGCCCCTGCACTGCCCCCTCCTTGCATCCCCACACCACCTGGGCCAGGAAGCCACACTACCCCTGTCCCCTGCCCAGCTTTCCCGACAGTCCGTGGACCCGGCCTTGCAGCACCATTGCCGGTACCTCCGGCATTAGCAGGAGGCAGCAGAATGAGTTTAGGGGGTGGAGGCGGTGGTGGTGGAGGGGTAGGGGGTTGGACACTGCTAGGAATCAGCTGGAGGCCCTGGGCAGTCTGTACCAGGAGAAATGTCTGAGAACTGGGGGCAACTGGGCCTGGGGGCGGAGTCTGGGCTGTGCCCCCAGCTACTTCGAGTGAAAGTGTGGCCTGTAGGTTGGGGAGAACATGAACATCTTGAGCGGCCAGTGGAGCTGGAGCTGCAGCCAATGGGGCAGGGGTTTGTGAGGCTGCAGCAGGGCCGGTGGTGCCCGAAGTTGTGGTAGCTGGGGTGTGCGTCCTCAGATGCCGCTGCAGGTAGGCGGCCATGACAAAGCCTCGGCCACAAATGGGACAGGCAAAAGGGCGCTCTGCAGAATGGGTGCGCTGGTGCAGCAGCAGGTTGGACGAGTGTGTGAAGGTCTTGGGGCAGAGCGGGCAACGGAAGGGTCGCTCGCCCGTGTGCACGCGTTGGTGCTGCCGCAAGTTGGAGGTCTGTGCGAAGCTCTTGCCACACACGCTACACGAGTGGGGCCGCTCGCCAGTGTGCACGTGCCGGTGGCGCCGCAGGCACGAAGTGTTACGGAAGGCTTTGCCACACTCAGTGCAGGCATAGGGCCGCTCGCCCGAGTGAAGTCGCAGATGGTACTGGTAGTGGGATGACCACTTGAAGGTGAGGCCGCACTGGCCACAGGTGAAGGCTCGCAGGCCCGTGTGCACACGCTGGTGGATGGCCAGCAGGGAGGAGCGCTTGAAGGCTTTGCCGCACTCCCCGCACTGGTAGGGCCGCTCACCCGTGTGGTCCCGCAGATGGTAGCGCAGCCCGGAAGAACCCTTGAAGGCCTTGCCACACTCTGCACATTTGTAGGGCCGCTCTGCAGAAACCGGGGCAGGCGGAGGAGGGGGTGGAGCAGGAGTGGCTGGGGCTACAGGTTCCTGGGGACAGGTGACCTCTGCAACCTCAGCCTGGGGAGGCGGGCGTCCCGCTGCTGCCTCCTCCACGTGGCACTGCTGGTGAGCCAACAGGCTGGCCAGTTGTGGGAAGGCACCATCACAGCTACCACAGCGAAAGGCCTGTCCACTGGCCGCACCATGGCTGTGCTGGTGACGGGACAGGCCAGCCACGGTCCGGAAGGACTTCCCGCAAGGAAGGCAAGCAAAGTTAGGAGGGGCTGTAGTGGCAGGTGGGGGCTGTGGCAGAGCGGAGTCAGCCTGGGGCAGCTCGGCAGGCACATCCTCGGACTGGGTGGCCACAGTGGGACCCGGGCATGGCTGGTGCTCCAAGAGGAGCTCCTCATTGCTGAAGCCCTGCTCGCAGCCATCGCAGCGGTACACTAGCTCCACTGTCGTCTCAGCAGCAGCCAAAAAGAGCTCGGGCACCACGGGTGGGGGCTGGGGTGGCGGGGCTGGAGGCTCAGGCGGGCTGCGGGGCTGCAAGTAGGCATCGGAGACCAGAACCTTGGTGTCAGCCCTGCTGGTCTCCCCTGTGGTGTCGGGGGCAGGGGCGGGGGTAGGAGCGGGGCCTGGGGCAGGGCCGTGGGTGCGGTGGTGCAGCAGCAGGTTGGAGGAGTGTGTGAAGGTCTTGGGACAGAGTGGGCAACGAAAGGGGCGCTCGCCCGTGTGCACGCGTTGGTGCTGGCGCAGATTGGTACTCTGAGTAAAACTCTTCCCACAAATGCCACAGGTGTAAGGGCGTTCTCCGGTGTGCACGTGCCGGTGGCGCCGCAAGCTGGATGAGTTCTTGAAGGCCTTGGGGCAGTCAGGGCACGGGTAGGGCCGCTCACCCGTGTGCTGTCTCAAGTGGTATTGGTAATGGGATGACCACTTGAAGGCCAGACCACACTGGCCGCAGGTGAAGGCCCGCAGGCCCGTGTGCACACTGCGATGGATCTGCAGCAGGGAGGAACGCTTGAAGGCTTTGGGGCAGTCAGGGCACTGGTAGGGCCGCTCGCCTGTATGGCCCCGCTGGTGGTAGAGGAGGGCTGAGGAACCCTTGAAGGCTTTGGGGCAGTCTGGGCATTTATAGGGCCGTTCGCCTGTGTGAGTGCGCTGATGGTGCAGGAGCCGAGATGACCACCGGAAGGACTTGCCGCACTCCCCGCACTCGTACTGAGCAGCAGGGGTGGGTGCTGGGGCAGTGGGACCTGGCTTTTCCCCAGTTCCCTCTGTGGTGGACGCTGGCGCCATGTCCACGTGGGAGCCGGCCATCACACCTGGGGGAAGGATTCTGATCAGAATGAGCAAGCACTGGGCCTCACCATCACTCACACTGGCTGGCTCTTCAAGGACTAGGGGGCAGCCCCCTGTGTCGCCCACGCTGCAGGGGCTCTTCCTTAGGGTTAAGGATTTGCAACAGCCTAGGTTTAACACACATTACCAATGACACGAGGGAGGAGTATGGGGTACCTGGGATGTGAAACTTCTCAGCAAAGTAGCTCCTCTAGGAAGCAAACAGGTCCGAAAAGGGGTGGTCTCTAGTGTCTGGCCTTCAGGAGGCCTGCCTTCTGTCATCAGTCCCTTGAAGAAGCCTCTGGCTTTGCTTCCTGCCTGTTTTGATGAATCATGTCTCTCCTCAACACTCGTCCCCCTACTTCACCCTAAACAAGTTCACTTTAAGGAAAGCTCAGGCATGGCACTCCACCACCTGCCTCATTCCCTCTCAGATCCCCCAATCCTGTTCCTACAGGATCTGCGGCCTCCTTCCATCATGCCACGTCTGCCAGCGCTACCAGCCTTGTACACACTCTCCCTGGCACACCCTTCCTGTGCATGCATTTATACTCACAACTCAGAACACACCCCACGCATCTCAGCTCACACAGCACTTTCTCTCATCCCCAAGTTTCTTCCCCCACTGAAATCCTCCTTTCCCTGTCCTTAGCCAGTAACCTTGCCACTGAGCATGGCACCAATGGTTCCCAACTGAGCTAACGTCTTCCCACTCAGGAGACATCTTGTGATGTCTGCAGACACTGGCTGTTGCTTGTCTGTCAAGTGCAGGGACAGAGGTACTCCTCAGCGCCCTACAGTGCACAGGGTGAATCTCTACAAAGATCCAGTCAAAAAAGAACAGCAGGTGAAAACTGCAGGGGTTCCCACCCCAAGCTGCCCTGTGCCATGGCCTCTGACCTCCCATGGCCTCTGACCTCCCATGGCCTCTGACCTCCCATGGCATCCTCTAGCAGTCTGCTTTTCTCCTGGACCACTCCCAGCAGCAAACATAAAGAACTGAGACCCCTTGTTTCACTTCACCCAGCCCTTTATAGGTCAGGAGGATTAACCTGCCCTTCCCTCTGGAACTTCAGGTACCTGTAGTCCCC